ATTTAATTTATGATTTGTATTTTTTGTTGTATGTATTTATTTGAGAAAAAGGGGCAGATATAAGATTTTTTCTTCTTACGCTACCTTTCATTTAATTTATGATTTGTATTTTTTGTTGTATGTTGAATTTATGTTGTTTTTTTAAGAAATGAATAAACTAACTAACTAAAAAAACTTTAGTGTTTCTGTGACAAATTTTATTTTAAAGGTGCAATATTATATGAAATCAACGTTTTTGAGCTTTTATATGTGATCCCTTCATCAATAACATGGCCAGAGTCTTGTGTTGACTCATTCGTGCATGTTTGTGAAATCCTGGGCTGTCCCGAGGCAGCCAGGCAGGAGAGCAGAAACGTCTGGTTGGGCCTAGAACCTCCTTTTAAGAGCAGCTCCTCCTCTGGGCTGTGTCTCCCAAGCCGAGCAGAAACGGACCACGTCTCCCCCGCAACTCCTGCAGGCTATCAGCAGCAACAACACCCGGTGAAACCGCGTCTGCTGAGCTTGTAATATTTCTCAGTCCAGTCTATTCTGGATTTAAAAAATGTCTTTGAGAAAGTGCATTTTTTCAGTTGCCAAAGAGACTACCGTCTTTTTAAGCTTCCCATGAATGACACGGTTCTTAAAAAATGGTTGGACTTCATTTTTGGAACCCTCTGACGAAAAAGAAATGGTTATAGTGTTTGTGCAAGCCACTTTACGGATGAAAGCTTTCTAAACCAAAGGGAATTTAAGAGTGGACTAATAACAAGATTATCACTAAAAGACGATGCAGTTCCAACACTCAGAAGGACACAAACACCGTTGTCTGCCCAGGTAAGCTGAAAAACAACTCACGTTGTTTTGTTCAGTCTACCTCTGATCTACATTTACCATGCGTAACTTATATTGAGATTTGCGTTCTTTAGTTGGCGTACACCACATTTTAGTAATAAATAAATTAGCTTAACTTTGACGTGTGTGAGGATGACTGGGAGATATTTTACCAAGCTCAAACGTTATCTCTGTAATCACTCCAGTTTTTATGAAAATGTACTTTCCAGGTCCGATGTGAGATCATCCAAGTAAGGTTCAATTAAGATAAGATGAGATGAGATGAGATAAGATAAAACTTTATTGTCATTGTTGCGTTGAAAAGAACACTGCAGTCCACAGACAATGAACAATGAAATAATTTTGCAGCTCCCGTAGTGCAAATAAATCCGAAGATTTAAAAAGATCAAATAAAGAAGTAAAAATAGAATATAAAGTAAGATAAAATAAAAAAAAAGAAAAAAAAACACAACAACAGTAGCAGCCGTATCAAAATGTCAAATGGAAATTATTGCACATAACCTTAGTGTTACCAAGTTAACCATGTGTGTTTAGACGTCTAACTGCTGTTGGATAGAAACTGTTCTTGAGTCGGTTCTTTCTGGTCCTAACAGTCCTGGACCTTCTACCTGATGTTTTTTTATTATTATTATTGCAACAAAATACAACGCTGCTAAGACCACTTGTAAACGGCATGAAGCTGTTGTGATGGGCGTAATGGAAGCGGTAGGAGTGTTTTTTAAAGACAGAGGCCGTTTAGTAACAGCTGTGATGCGAAGTCAAATATATTTGTGATTTACTGACAGTGAGCATTTTCATACTAACTGAAGGTGACATAGTTACTTTATTTTGGTTTAGAGTTGAACTATATGTCTGAGAAACACATAGGCTACGTTCACACTGCAGGTCTTAATGCTCAGTTCCGATTTTTTGAAAAAATCCGATCTTTTCGTGTGAACGTTCACATTACATTTTAAATGTGACCTGTATCAGACCCCTGTGTGAACGCTACACAGCACTGATGTGACACGCATGCGCAGTAAAAG